AGAGATGAAATGCGTATTATGTTTTCTTTATCCACTGTCTAAGTAGAAATAATCCAAAGGCCACATCAAAAATAGTCATCCAGAGAGGCAACCAGGGATGCAAAAAGTTTGCCAACTTTCAATTGATAAATAAGTCTGAATAACTTAATTGAATGTACTTCATGGCATTCACCATGTAGTTATGATGTTTAGGGATAATTAAATGGAGGAAATTTCCCAGAGAATTCAACTACCCATGGAAATCAAGTTTATGCTAGGACATTGACAAAACAGTAAGATTAGTGAAGTCTCATAGAAGTCTTGACCAATAGAGACCCATTGCTATAATTATAAAGGGAACACAGTAAGAGACATTCTTACAGTGGACATGTCACCTACTTTTAGAAACTTGGGGATATTCAAGACTTTACATTAGAAAAATTGTATGTAGAAACATTAATAGTCATATAAAAAACCTCTTTTAATATAAAAATATAAAACAGGAATGAAGAGGGATAAATACACATTTTTTCATTACAATTTTGTACCAGGCAGCTTTCCCTCAGGAGAGTTAGGGTAAAAAAAAATCATAAAATAAGATAAAAAAAAAATTGCTGGGCGCAGTGGTATGTGCCTGTAATCCCAGTGGCTTGGGAGGCTGGGGCAGGAAGATGGCGAGTTCAAAGCCAACCTCAGCAAATTAGGGAGGCACTAAGAAACTCAAAAAAAACCCTGTTACTAAATAAAATATAGACTAGGCTGAGAATGTGGCTCAGTGGTCGAGTACCCCTGAGTCCAATCCTCAAAACCAAATAAATAAGTAAATAAATAGTTGAAGGCATTTGCTTTATTTTTACACCCAAGATGTACCAAGTGTGTGTTGTGTTCTAGGCATTGCTCTGAGTCCAGGAAGTACTGAGATAAGTAACAGTTTGTACTCTGAAGGAAAGTATAGCCTCCTTGGGAACAGTCTTGTGTGATGGGAGATGGAAGGGTCAAAAGTACTATGAGGACCAGTGAGAAAGGAAAACAAAAACGCTCTGATGAGAAAAATCAAGTATCAGAAGAAGTCTGTAGGGAGTGAAGAAACCAAAAAGTGAGAAAAGGCATCCGGAAAGAATTCCCCAGTCTGAGGGAAAAGCATGCATCAGGCAGTGAGGGGTAACTTCACTGTGTTCAGTCTGATGGTGTGCGTGTGCACAGGGAGTGGGTGTGGGGGGTGGGGGGTGGGAGGGGATCAGGACATGGGGCCACTAAAAAATGGGAGGGGGGGCTTGTGAAAGAGTTTGTAGTTAACGGCTCAAAAAGAGATTGTATTTTCTATTATGAGTGGCAGAAACAGTTAAAGATTTAGGTTGTTTTTTGTTTTGTTTTTTTGTTCTTTTTTAGGGTGTATTTGGACATATTATACATACATGGAGTACAATTTATTCTAATTAGGATCCCATTTAGATTATTATTGAGTAGAAAAACTGGTTCATTTGATCAGAATGATTTATTTTTGCTTCTCTCTCTCTCTCTCTCTCTCTCTCTCTCTCTCTCTCTCTCTCTCTCTCTCTCTCTCTCTCTCTCTCGTCTTCTGGTTTTAAATTATCTTTATAAGACAAAATTGCCTTAACTGGACAGAGTCTTGTTTGCAGAGTACCCCCAACAACCTTTTTTAGCAATCAGAAGACTTCTTACCATGCTCAGAAAGCAAGATTCTTTGTTTCTACATTTGATTAAGAATAATGCCTTTCCTGTTTTAGAATGAATTCTGTTAGCAAGCTCAGCAGGAAGCTGTAAACAAAGGTTCAGTAAAAACCTTACTGCATTTTCCATGGTAGTATGTTGTCACCTTCAGTGTCACCCTGGTCTCCACCTTCAGGAGATGCTGTCTCTCTTGGTGACAGCTGGCTTTGTCTTTATAAAGAGAGATCCCTTTCCTAAAAGGGATTAATTTCCTCATGTCACTTTAATAAGGTACAGGAGTATGTCCCCAGAGACACAATGACAGAAATCTTCCCTAATATAAATCGATCATTATGCTCTGGAGCTAAAGAAAGCTCTATTTCCTTGAGTTCTTTGCTCCTTTTAGTTCCAGCTAGGATAGTAATTTGTTTTCTGAAAAATGTTAATGCTTGTTTACCATTCCTGGAGCCAGTCAAGACCCTGGATACCCACTCAAAGTTCATGGCCTCAAAGTTTGTGATAAAAGTAAGACATTACATGTCAAGAATGTGTTCTTGATCACATGGGAAAATATCTGTTTATTTTGAAAGCTAGGATAGAAGTTCATCAGAAATGTTTTTCATTCTGTGGTGAGTCTTGTTTTTGCATTCATATAATTTGTTATGAAAAGAATTTAATGTGTTTGATCACTCTCCCATTATTTTTAGAGATGATACAATTTACTTATTTGATGTTGAATTAACATTTAAACCACTTTTTTCCATGAGACTACCTCTTTGTGTCATTGTGCCCCTCATAGACTCTGACCACATTAGCAAAAATCTCTCTAGTCTTTCTTAAGCAATATTCCCTTTCCCATGTGATAATGATGTACTATAACAAAAGAAAACCAAGGACTGGGGTTATGGCTCAGTGGTAGAACACTTGCCTAGCATGTGTGAGGCACTGGATTCAATTCTCAAAACTGCATCTAAGTAAATAAATAAAGGTCCATCAACAACTAAAAAAAATTTTTTTTTTTTTTAAAATGAGAGAGAACCAAATTTAAAGAGTGTGAATTCTGGACCAAAGACCATCATTCATGAAAGAAATGGCCTAAAAAACAATATCATTTATCTCTTGGTCTTAGTGTTCCCATTCTACAGATTGGGAAATAAGAATGCCTACCTCAGTGCTAATGGTCAATCTACTCAGGAAAGCACACCTGAAACACATTGCATTATAAATTTACTCAGACATTTACTGAATCACATGATTGTTGATCTGTCTAAAATTCAAACCTGTTCTTCAAAGATTGTCTTTCTTTAATCCTCAGGGTTTTTTGTTTTGTTTTGTTTTACACCATTTGGAAACATTTTTATTGGGAGCTGAGCTAATGGTGAGCTTCATAGAAATGAAGTTTGGGCCACCTAGAAGGAAGGATGGTCATACAATCCTTCAACCATCTCATTTAGTGGCAAGAGAGCTAACTACTTGACAGGGAACCTGTGAATGTCTGCAGAGCAAAGATCCTGTGATGCTGATTCAAGTGTGACCCATCTGCTTATTTATTTATGTATTTTTACTTAGAGACGGGGTCTCACTGTGTTGCCCAGGCTGGCCTCAAACTCCTGGGAACCAAGCCCTCCTCCTTCCTCACCCTCCCAAGGGGTTGGGACTCCAGAACTGATGAAACACAAATTCCAAAGCTCGCTGAACCTTCCTGAGACTCACTGTTCCACTTCTTAACTGTGAGGCTGAGAGGTAGCTTGTTGCCTGCAGAAGTTTTTAGATCTGTGGAAAAATTGGGCAGGTATTTGGTCAGGTTCCTCAAGTTCCATGGCCAGCAGCAGGACAGAAATGTTTTGGCCTGTCGATTTCAGGGCAGGTGTTACCGGTCGGTGGGTTGCTTGAACTGTGAAAAACCTCCTTCTGGCTTTTTTTTTTTTTTTTTTTTTTTTTTTTAATGCCTGCCTGAAGCAGTGCTACCTCCTGGTGGGCCTGCCAGGGAGAATTAGTTTCAGAATGCACTCTGAGGAAGTGGACTGAGTGAAGCTGCTGAGTGGATCAGGAACGTGTGCTTAAATGTTGAAGAAAATCTGCTGGAAGCAGCAGTCTGGGTTTTAGCATCATGGGAGATAGAGCTGCCCTTTCTTTTTGTCCTGATGGTCCTCAGCCAGGGGGCCCAGCTGCTTCTCTTGGAGCTTTGTGGTTCATGACAGTAAAATCAAGTCATTAGAAAGTCCTTCACAAAGTGTAATGGCAGCAAACACAAAATATTACATTGTGTTAGTGTTATGAATCTAATCGAAGATTAGAAAATATATGTGAGTGTCCTGCTTCCTGAAATGTAGATCTTCCTACAAACACTTTGAAAAAGCCAGATTTGAGTCCAGTTCAATCTGTCGGTGCTTTTCATTGATTTAAAAACAAAACCCAACACCTTATGTACCTAATGTGGTTGTAGGAAAATGATTTTTGTCATGAATTTAATTATTGGTTTTAAGTATAAAATGAAAATAGATGAATATTCTTCAGTGACTCTTAAGTGTTTAGTGATCATGTCTCCTTTTGAATATCTTAATAAATGCTAAATGTCTTGCCTACAGAAGCATATAGCACACAGTTTGGGTTATAACTTCATGGAGTTCCCTGTTCATTGATAGATTCCAGGTCTCCAAGGTGCCCACAGTGCTTATCTTACCATTGGAAGTTGTCACAAGCACAGCAGAACCCACTCTGCAGGTTTTTTAATTTCCTTCCAATTGTCATTTTGTAGCTTTCCTTTTTTTCTATAGGAACTCTCTCCCTAACAAAGCTGGTGTGAGTTCTTGCTGACCACCACTGAAGACCCTTTGCCTCCGGAACCTCTGTTAGCATGGACTGCAAGAGGAAAATAGCAAGCTGCCATTCACTTGGTGTCCACACCACCACCACCAGGTGGTGCTCAGTGTGCCGAGTGCTTTACATACAATATCTGCCCCTGCACATTGTTTTGAAGCATCTGATGACTTCTGTGCCCCACTGTGCATCCTACTCTCTCAAAAAAAAAAAAAAAAAAAAAAAAGTCACCATCAGTGTTTAAGAGATGCAAGTTCTACTTCTCTAATTTTTTCAGGAATTCCAGAATTGCTGATTCCTAGATAATGTATGTTTCTCTAGGTTCCTTCAGAACAAGAATGGCCTTAGGTCATGATGTATGTTCATCCAGATGCTCAACCTTCTCATTCCCCACTCGGACTTGGTTGGACATGGAGTTGAAAAAGACTTTCACATCTTATTTAAAAAATCTCACTTCTCTGCCTCTATTCTGAAATCTGCTCTAAAATCTACCTCTAACTATTGCCTTTTCGTTTGCTTTCTTCGCACAGGTAACAACGCTGACTCAGGAGGTCTCCCAGTTAGGTAAAGACATGAAGAATGTGATGCAACTTCTGGAAAACGTCCTGTTACCTCAGCAGCCGTCAGGGCTTTGCTCTCTGCATACCGCCTCTGTGTGTCCATCCAGGGAGAGCTTGCAGACCAGGATGAACTGGAGCATGCACCAGCCTTGCCTACACTTGCAAACAGGTGGAGCGGCTTATACCCAAGCACAACTTTGTCATGGGAATGTCACCTCTGATATTTGGAGTGTGGATCCCTCCTCTGTGGGGAGCAGCCCCCAGCGAACTGGAGTTCATGAGCAAAATCCAGCAGACAGTGACCGTTATCATTCTCCAAACCTCGATTATTCACCTGCCCACTACCAGGTTGTCCAAGAAGGTCATTTGCAATTTTTAAGGTGCATCTCTCCACATTCAGATACCACGCTAACCCCTTTGCAGTCTATTTCGGCTACTCTCTCTTCCTCTGTCTGCTCCTCCTCCGAAACATCTTTGCACCTGGTTCTCCCAAGCAGATCCAGATCGGAGGAGGGCAATTTCAGTCAGGGACCTGTTAGTTCCTTCAGTCTGGAAAACTTACCAGGCTCTTGGGACCAAGAAGGAACAGCATCAGCCTCTACCAAACCCTTGGAGAACTTTCCACTGGAAGTTGTCACAAGCACAGCGGAAGTGAAAGATAACAAAGCCATAAACGTATGATATCAGCACACGAGACGCTGCAGCTGCCATTTTGAGACCCACCACTGCATGACAGCTTTAGTTTGCCTTTTCCACCTCTGGCAGGCAAAGTTGGGAATCCTGCAGAGGAGTGCGTGAGGAGCCAGGGAAAGGCAGAGCCACCTCCATACTGTAGCAAATGATTTCTAGATCCTAGAAGCATAATACAAACATTTTTCTGTACAGGTATTAACTTCCTGGTCTGTTTGACAGACTTTGGTAAAAGTCCAAAGACCCCGAGGGTCTGAGCAGCTAGAAGTCCCAGACAAAGAATTTGTGGATTAGTTTTGTCCTAGGTGGCTTTTGTGAAGTGCAGCAAAGGTTTTTCCTGAGTGCCTGTTTGTCATTCCTGAACAATATCCATAGCGCTGTTGGCCTCGGGAGCGCACAGCTCCCGCTGATCTATTTTTCTTTTGGTGAAGGCAAAGGGACAATTATCACTGCATGTCATCTCCTAGACAATCAGTCAAATAGAGCTGGTGGCCAGTGGTTAGCTATTCGCACGTTATTTGCCATGTAAATGAAAACGTCTTTATTTATCAAAAAAAAAAAAGAAGCTATTTTTATAACCTTGGTATGAAATATGTATTTAAACTATTTAAAATATTTATAAAGAAATGGATGTTTTCTTTTCATTTTGGTAAAAAAAAAAAACAAGCTTGCTGTTTTAACAAGAAATGCACTACTGTTATGTATAGTAGATCAAACATTATTTATTATTAAGAGGATGTAGCTTCAAGAGGAATCTCCCTTTTATCTGCATGCAACTTACAACAAATGTATCCTCATACCTCTGGGTTACAAAAGAAAAGTGAGACCATATTTTATTTACGAAATAAAAATGTAGACCGAGTGTCCACTCCATGAGCTTTGGCTTGGTGGTAGAGAGGGCTCCATCTAGTCTGCTGACTCATGATAATGCCCTGAGTTAAGGCAGCCCCCAAGCGCCTGCAGAAACACCTCTCCTCCAGGTGTCAGACTTTGTAATCCAGGAACCTGAATTTGGTTTGCAGAATAGGAGATCACCATCTACATTGAGCCAGTTTGGGCTCAAAGTGAGGATAAAAGCCTTGCGTGTGTCCTTTCCCTGTGGCTTTCTTTCCTGGGAGGCTGTGGTCTAGCAAACATTTCCAAATGGAGCCAAGACGTCCTAGCTATGACTGCTAAGAGCGATCCCAGCTTGCCTGGGGTCAATGCCGGACCTGTTTTCTTTAATGCTCCCAACAAAGCCCTAGCTCTGCAGAGCATTTGTTGACAGTCCTAATTGGCTGGGGAAGAGAAAAGTTCCAGAGATTACACAGCCAGCATCCTGTGTAGGTCTAGAACCCAGAATGCTCCCTACCTCTCACACCCACCTACTGCAGACTCAAATGCTGGACTTGGCAATGATTTAAACATTCACTTAAGTTGTATTTTATGTTTAAGAACATTTAAGGCTTGATCATCCCACACATTTATAAAAGACACATTGAGTTCCGGAGTCCTCCTGTTTTTATTTCCTGCCACAAAGAATAAACAGTCTAAGAATTGCATCATTAAAAAACATCTAAACAAACCAAGATTTTTCTGATTCTGTGTGAGTCATGCACCCTAAACCTGGCAGAAAGAAATCTTCTCTAAGAAAAATGACTTTGTAGTTCAGGAACCCAAATTTGGTCTGCAGAATAGGAGAGCGCAATTTTTTTTTTTAAGTCAGCTCACTCAATATCTAATGCCCCGAACTCTCAACCCCCAAAATTCAGTCTCTCCTTAGGTTAAAGTGAAAATTGAGGCAAATTCTAGATTTCAAGTACTCATTCATATTCCCCCTTTTCCTCATCCTACCTATGTAATCATTTTAAGCACCATCCAAAAAGACCTCACTGATGTTGGTTCATGAATATCCATCTGGCAAACTAGCACCACTATTACTGATACCGACAATGATGACTGGCATTCTGTTCTCTGAATCAACAGACATCTAGGAATTAATACAAGTTGTGCTCTCTCATCTAGTCATCAAACAGTGCTAACAGTTACTTAAGTTACTTATTATTATTTTTATTTTACAAATAAAAAATTTTTTTTTAAATTTGCCCAGTCACATTGTTCTAAATGATGATTCAACACCATAATGGCCACTCTAGGTGGGTATCCCTTCCTTTGTGTTCAAAATCATCTGCACTGCACCTCAAAACTTTGCTAGCAATTGATTTCTTTCCAGAATCGATGAGTAAAATATTTATTTGTTTTTGTTGTTTTTTTT